CCCCCCCCCACCGCCCTCAGAATGCTTTGTTTGTGCTCAACTGGGTCCGAGAGACCCGGTGTTTGCGCTATCAATGTTGATTTTTTTATTTTTTCTTTTCTTTTTGAAATCTTGTTTGCTTTTGCAGGTCTTGACTCAGGAAAACTTAGCCACAGTTCTGACAGGAGTTATGGTTCCAGCAGGGGCAGTTACTCAACCTCTTCTTATCCCCATCAGTATTGCAGGTCAAGTGGCTGGTCAGCAGGGGCTGGCCGTGTGGACAATTCCTACAGCAACCGTGGCCGCCCTCCCAGGACTGACAGCTGCTTCTCCCACGGGGGGAATTTTCAAGCCACCTTTAGCCGGTCTGCAAGGTAACGGCAACTCTCCCCAGGACGGCAGCAGGCCCCCCACCACCCTATACGCGCGCTTGCCATGTTGGACTCAGAACCCGCGGCCCGCCAGGGCCACAGCCCTGGAGTCTGGATCCGGTGTCCCAGGCACCCCGCCACAGAGCTGCTACACCACCTCGGGACTCTAGGCCATGACACGGTGCTGGCCCAGCAGGCCTCTCCTACTCCAGCCAACTGAGACTGCCCCTCTCCCCCCACGCCAGAATGCACCCCACGACCAGCCTCCTGAGAAGGACTGCAAGAAGATTCAGCTTCTGGTTTTGAGCCTCCACATCTCCAGGCCCAAGGGGGGGGGGATGAGAGATGTTGCCCTGTGCTGCCCCTGCAAGGATCAAGGGAATCACAGCTGCCTGTCCCCTCTGCCCCGCCGTCCCAACCCCCTCTCCTGCCTGTGCCAGATCCCCTGGGATTGGAGCCGCTCGGGGGGCCGCGGCTGGGCGTTTGAGCACCCCTGTCTCTGCCTTGCTCCATAGCAGCCGCTGTGCTGAACGCCGCCCTCCCGACTCCCGTACAAGCTGTTCCGCCGCCGGCACAGGCCTCCTCGCCCAGCCAGCCCCGGCCAGCAGCCCAGCCCCAGCCGCTGTTCCAGCCCCAGCCGCTGCTGCAGACCGCGCCTGCCATTGTCCCGCAGCCCACTGCTGCCACTGCTACTGCCCCTACGCCCAAGCCGGTGGACACCCCCCCACAGATCACCGTCCAGCCCGCGGGCTTCGCGCTGAGCCCAGGAATTGTAAGCCGCTGCCCTCACCCGGGGCTGACCAGGGATGGACCGAATCTTGGGCCAAGGGTGGAAGCGGCCCTTCCCACAGGGGAGGAAGGAGGTGGAGGACCAGCCCCCCGCATACGGCTCTTTTTTCCAACACATCAGCAGAGATGGCCCCCCTCTGAGGCCTTCTCCTTGCATCTGCCAGCCCATCCGTCCCAGACAAGAGCAGACGGCCTCCGCCAAGAGGGCTGGGCAAATTCTCCAGAACCTGAACCACTGGATCGGCCTTGGAGGGTGGGATGATGTCTGGGGATTGCACACTTGTGAGCTGTAACTAAGGCGGAGCTGGAGGCTCACGCCCCCACGCCAGTGTCTGTCCAGTGTGGCTCCCGGCTTGCCAGGGGAGCTGTTAGGTGCGACTAGAATCGCTGGCCCCTCCAGTCTGGACTTTCTGTCCTCCCAGGCCTGGCCTGAGAGATTAGCCAGAGTTACCCTTCCACG